GCGTGTGACTAACAACACTATCTCCCCCCCCCCCACCCCCCACCCACCCACCCAAGAAGGTCGTGAAGCCCGAGGGCGAGGATAAGATGGACGTGGAAGGGCAAGACCAACCACAGCAACAGCAGCAACAGCAGCAACAGCAGCAACAGCAGCAACCGCAGCAACCGGGCGTTGGCGGCGGAGGTGAAGCAGGCGCCGTCGCTGCCGCCGCTGCTGCCGCCCCCGCCGCCGCTCCCGACGGGGCTGGAGCCGGGGCTGATGCTGGCGCCGCCGCCGCCGCCGCGGGAGCAAGTGCAGTAGGGCAAGGCGGGGGGGGGGCTGGTTCGGTGGCATCCCCGGAAGGAGCGGGGGTGGCGGCGGCAGCAGCAGCAGCAGCAGCAGCGGCAGCGGCGGGGCCGCAGAAGGGGGCGGCGGGGGAGGACGTGAAGAGCGGGGCTAGGGTATGGACCGGGAAGGCGGGGATAGACCGGGTGCTCTTCGGCGGGATATGGCGCGTTCCGGGACACACGGTGGGTTTTGGTGGTTTGGCGTTTGGAAAAAGGGGTCAGGATTTCTTCTCGGTCGGGTTGGAGCTTTGGGGCGGGGGGGTGGAGGGGGGTCAGGATATCTCGTACTCATGAGCAGTGCCGGAATCGTGCGGCCTCAAGTCAGGGAAAACTGCGGTGTGCACTCTCGTCTTGTTGCTGTTGTTGACTTTGCTCCCGCGGAGGCTTTGTTTTGTGCATGAAACGTAGCACAAGATTCCCTATTGCGTGATTTTTTTTTTTTCTTTGCTACGGGCACCGCTCGAGAGATAAGTGGAGTCGGGCCTTGGCGTTCCGTTTCCGACAACCAAATCCTTCGCAAAAACTCATGAACGAGTCCGAGTCGATACAAAAACACTCACCCAACAGCGAAACGCAAACTCGGGAGTAAGTAGATATCCATACACCGCACAACGAGCAAGATACCCTTGAGCCCAAAATTCGTCCCAAAAAGTCATCAACGAACCGGCACAATCGCACCCACCTATCAACCAACACCCCCCCCCACCGTCTTTTGGAGCAGGATACTCCTAAGACGTTCCTGGAGCAGAGGTCGGCTCAGCGGGTGGTGCACTTCATGGGCAGGACGGAGCGAGACGGGGTCCTGCTTCCCGAGGGGTCGATGACGGAGGACGGAAGAATGCCGGGAGTGTCGGTGGAACTCCCTCGGACGGCGTCACACCGAGAGGTTTGGATTCTTGCTTTGTTTTTTTTTACCTCATGAGCGCTCCAATCCGTGTGGTCACCCTGTTTTTCTTTTGTGGGTGTTCGACATGTTTTTATCGGCGGTCATACAGCGTTGCTTTTCCTGCGAGTAGGAGCTCCGTGGTCTTTCCGTTTTTTTGTTTGTTCGCCGCTTGTATGACTATAAACCGATCGTGATGCTTTCTTTTGGGTATTTACCATGTAGTCAGCGGGCCCACCGCTGTGTGGTGTCTGTGGCATGCTGTTTTGTGTGGGTGTTTTTTTTTGTGTTGTCGCGGCCGGCTTTCATCCCCGCACTTGTGAACAACACCGAGTGGGGGGTGGTGTCCAACTAGGACCGCGAGCTTTTTGAAAGGGTTCCTCCCGATGAGCGTCTGGAACTATGAACTTATTGCAGACCAGTAGTGCACCAGATTTTCACTGATCGTTTTCAACAACGGACGGCAGGGAAGGACAAGCTTGACCTTTGAAATATCGGATGCTGTTTTTTCCTTCTTTTTTTCTGGTGTCGCAGATATTGGAAACCCTTTCGAGGCGCCTGGAGTTGGTGGACGACCCCCTGCTGCTAAGGATCTCGGCGATGACTACGGGCGGGAAGCCGCAGGTATCGTGACTCGTTTGAGTGTTTTGCTTTTGTTGTTATTTGTGGCTGTGGTTTCGCTTTTGGCTGCTGTTCCTTTTGTTCTGGTCTCGTTGGTGATGTCGGCATTTCGTCGTTGTAGTCGTCGTTGTGAATGCGTGGACCCGTTGCTTTCGCGCTCTCCGGGTGTACAGGGCACGCGGGTTCATGTCGCGATGAACGACCTCTTTTGGACGTGATGGTTCTTGTGGTGCCTTGTGGTGCCCCTTCTTCACGGTTGCCTTACCCCCGATTGATCTTTTCTTCGCGATCGATCACCTTACATCGCCGTTGTCCGGTGTCTATGCCCCCCCCCCCCCCCCC